TGGTATGAAACAGATGTTCATTCTGCTGATTTAGCTATCTGATTTCTGTTCCCACATTTTAAGTGCCTCTTCGGTTTCCTTTTCTTCATTGCTAGCCTGGATAAAAGATGAAAACAGCCCTTAACAGTAGCGCAGCTGATGTAGTGGTGTGTGTGCTGGAGGTGAGCCCTGCCCTTGTCTTCTGGCCTGGTGCTGCTGGCTCACCTCTGTCTCACCAGGCTGACTGAAGTGTGTTCCAACCTGTGGACTTGGTCTGGCTAGGCAAAAACAAATAGCTAGCAAAGTACAGCTCTGTAATTCTAAGCGTCGTTAGGCATTACTGTGTCAAAGTAAAACTTGGTATAATCTTAATTTTTCTTCCATTTCATATCATTTTTTTACTGGTTGATAATACTGTTTATTCCCAAATCCGTTACCCTCTCATAAGTAGGAGGCAAGAAACTTGACTTCTTAATCTTTCTTAGGAATCTTCTACAAGCTCAGGTGAAAGCTGGCCTTCTGCTTGTATAACTTTCAAAGAGTTAGTCAGAGCCCATATGTTACAGCCGGGAGGAAATTATGCTTGGGGATGACTAACAGAACATGTTCCTGCTGTTAATTTGGGTGTCATTCCAGAAACGTAATTCGTAGCCTTCTCTTTGATTTTATTAACACATTTATGTACTAATGCCAGTCTTCGCTAGCGTACTTCACCAAGGAAATTAATGAAGGGGTAGATTTTATATGAACAAAGAGAAGGCTTTGGTAGCTCTGCCTGGAAAGAACAGGGAGAAGCAGAGAGCACGTATGCTTGGGTAGTAGCTGGTTAGTAGAAATACGAGTTACAAGTAGGAAATTTAGTTATATGCATCATCCTGCTACAAACACCACGTTCCTCAAGTCTCTGTGAGTTGATAAATAATTTACCAAGAACAATGATATGTTGTACTAATTGGGAGTTTTTGTTCCTTCCAAAAAGAAGGGAATAGCTTTCAGTAGTCTGATGCTTAAGGCTGCTCATGCAGCTATCATACGGTTTGCAGCAGGAAGAATTTGAATGCTAAGAAAACTAGCATTGAAAAGGTGGCTTACGATTTATAGCCTTTTTTGACACTTACTATCTATCTGTCTGTTACAGACTGCCTTTCATAGTGAAGGATACATTGTATAGCTCCAAGCCAATTAATGCCTGTTTATTTATGTGAAAGGTTAAATTACAGAGACATAAACAGCCCGGCTGCATGTGTGACTGGGCTCTGCCTGTGCACCTGCTGATGCAGTGCCTGTGCACCTGCTGATACCGAGCCTGCATGCACACTGCTGTGCCACACTCCTGCAGGAGCACACAGTAAATAGGTAATAATAGTAATAGGAGCTCAAAGTAGATGTAATAACAAAATGGGAAATTCTGAACACAGCTAAGGCAGCTGACCATGGATTGACAGTGCTGCACTTGAGAATGAGTTGTCCAGCCATCCTGTGGGTGCAATCCTCTATCTGCTTAAAAGAGCAAATTTGTTCTTGTAGCTTAGTGCTTTCCATGCTGCTAGGTCTGCTTCTGATTATGTCACTGCAGTAAAATAACAGGCTGAACGTATGAGTTTGCATTGTGTATGTATGTGCAAAATTGATGCAGCTCTGTGAGAAAGCTGCTTTTATCTGGTCTCACTGTTGCTCTTGTTCTGCAGTAGACAAATCTTTGCTGAATCCTTCTAAGCTGACTGTTCCTCACAGTTTATTAAGATGGAAGAACAGGTTAAATTCACAGATTCCTTCTTAGGGGTAATGCAGACTGAGCAGCTGGCTTGCTTTGTGCCTGGTTCTGTTTGAAGCCAGTTAGTCTGAAAGAGCCAAACCAGCTCAGTGTGATCACTTTCGAAGGTTGAAGTTTATTTTAGAAACTTTGGTACTGTGTAGTAGACTTAGAAACCTTTGGTTATTTTAAATGGGAGTACAATGCAGCTTCCTGAGCCAAGGCTGCGTCCCCATGCGGGCAAAAGAGCTGAGCAGCTGGGGTACCTTAAAAGGAGACAAAGTGCGCGGGTATCTGCTGGCTGATATCTCTCAGATCGCACTAAAAGCATCTTCCAATTTTCTGTTCAAGTCTCGTGTCTTGAGGAAGATCAGAATAGAAGCAGTGCCATCAGTGTGGTGCAGCAGACGGACCACGAGCTTGCAGGGCAGCTCCAAGCAGAGCTTGTTGAGTGGACGTGTGCTGTGTTACAGTGGCATCCCCGAGAGCCGCATGTTTGATTGTGTGGGGCTGCAAACCTTCTCCATGCAGGCAGCGTGACAATTGGTGACTCAGTGGGTGAATCTGGAAACTCTTTTCACTCCCCCAAGTTTTCATAAATTTTGTTTGAATTTGGATTATGCATGGTGGTGCCTTACATCCAGCTCTGTGGGTTTGCTATCTTTCGCATGGCCTTTCCAGAAAATCCTGTTGCCATCTTAAAACTGCTAGTCCTAAAGTTGTTTCTGGCTTATGTACTTGTGTCCAACACAGAATCATTCCGCTTTAGGAGGGCTGAATGACAAGGAATAAGAGTCAGCGATTCTTTGGAAGGCTTTTGGGTTTGGTCTAAATGCTGAGTCCCTCAGGTTTTGCTGCTCCAGAGTAGCAAGCAGTTGAACTGCTAAGCCCTTTCAGGAACAGCTTATGTTTTGGCAAACAGCTCATGTCAGGCTCAGCCTCATGGAATTTGCAGAGCTTGGTTTGTGCCCTTACAGTACCTCTGTGCTGGGGACACCTTCGTGCCCATGCAGCTGCTGTGACCACAGCCTCATCCTGCCCTCCTCTGTGTCAGAAATGGGCCCAGGCTGCCTCCCGAGGAGTGTGAGCTCAGCTGGTTTTTGACTGAGGAAATATAACAAACATTACCTGTAGCTATATAGAAAATATATCTTCCAAAATCACTTTGTTGCTCAGCTTGTGTTTTAGTACTTTATATTTTGTTGTCAGTCCACATGCTCCTAATGTGTAGAATATATACAGCATGATGGTCTGTAAAGTCTGAAGGGTATTTTAAGTGTTGTCCATAAAGTAGCAGTGGAAAATTTCTCCCAGTGCTCAGAAATCTGGAAACAAGAGTTGAGGGTTTCAGTATCACTTCTGTTAATTAGAAGGCTTTTCAAAACTTGCTAGATCTGCATTGCCTTCTTTCCCTTTCCCTGCTGGCCCTGGCTGAGCTCTTCCTGTCTCACACAAGGGCTCATTCCTTTTCCTCCCTAACAGCGGTGTCTGATTTATCCTACAGGGCTTAAATTAAGAGGAAACTCAGCAGTAGGGGAAGGAATGATGGATTCGACAGCAATTCTCAGGCTCTCTTGTGCTGGCTCATTAGGCAACCTTTTTGTTATTATTTTTTAATACTTACAGAGAATGCAGCAAAGCCAATGCAGCAGGAGCAGCAGTGTGCCAAGAGCTGCTTGACCGGGTGCTCCCCTCTGGCCTAGTGATGGGGCCGGGTCCTCGGGTTCTCCAAGGGCAATACTTCCCTGTGCCTGTGGAGCAGCAGCCTTTTGTCTTCCAAGCCCAGCTAAAACATCGTCATTGCTACCTAGGCTTTCCTGGGTGAGATCTCAGTGCAAAGCTGGCTTGTTTGCAGCCCTGTGAATTCTCATGGCTGCATTGAGCTCTTTGGAATCGCAGCTGAGGGCAGGCTGCATCAAAAATGGCAGTGACCTTGCCACTCTGGATCTCGGTTACAAACGAGTGGGCTGCCAATTCAATTTGCTAAGTGTGCGCTGCTGCAACCATCCCCAGTTAACTGGGAAAAAGAGAATGTCCGAGGTTACTATATGAACTAATTAATTTCAGTGATTTGTGAGCCTGCATTCCTGTAAGTAAGAACAGTTACACAATTGTGCCTTTTAGAGAACTAAAACGCTTCATTTCTAGGGCAGTGGACTGCAGTGCTCCAGGCACGTTCTGCTGTCCGCGGGACGTGAGCCAAGTGGCTGCATGGCCCCCAGTGAAACACCTCTGCAGGGGCCAGGTGTGGAGTAAGGTGCCTGCTGTCAGGTTGGGTGGTGCTAATTAGAACAGGAAGGCTTCTGCTGGGATATCTGCCTTTGCAGCCCTCCTGTGCTGTGCCTGCAGAATGGGCTGAGAAACAAGGTGGTGAGTGGGGGGGGGACTTGGTTGATGTCTCTGAGTTGCATATGGCTGTTTCTGGCACCAGGAGCTCTTGAAGGAAAGCAGCTTTTCTTGAGCTTCAGCGCTGCTTAAACTTGTGCTTTACGACCTGGAGTAAATGCTTCCAAATTTCTTCAGGGAAAAAATGGAATAGTAGAACGTGGCATCACTCACGCTTCTGAGCTAAAATTGTAAGTGTAGCCATGCAGCCAATGTGCAACCCAAAGAAAACCATGAAGAAGAATTTTTTGAGTCATTTTTTGTCAGTTTTAAAGAGAACTCTGAAATTAAGCAGGGCTGCAAGGAAAGAGAATAGGGAAAAAAATGTTTTGTTTCATTTTTTTTTTTGACGTGGTATTGTCTTAATTCATCCCTGGAGAGACGGAAGGAGCTGCACAGGCAGTGGGGTTACTCAGGGGACCTCACCTAGAAGCCCTTGCCATGTGTTCACAGGTGCAGCCATTTACTGGGTCCAGTATTCAGGGCTGTAAAAGCAGGCAATAGCTTTGCTAGTGATGACGTTGCACACCTGGAAGTGGAACTCTGTGTTTATTAATCTCTCAGACAATGATCCTCACAAAAACAAGAAGTAAATAGCCGTGTGTTGATACATCAGGACACTGGTATGTTTATGTTGCCTGAAATATTAATGCTGTCATGTAGCTTAGTACAGACATCTCTTTGTTCTGAGGCAAGTCTTTGTCTTCTTGACACTGGGTTTAAGGCGAGTGCACTTGTTCATACACATTGCTCATCCGTTACGTAAAAGATTTTGTAAGTGTTCTTGATGCAAGCATAAAACAAGAATTCTGACTGTTGTAGCAGCATGGTGGCTTTGTTTTCTGCCCATTCTGTACTAACAGTGTTTTATTTTGGATTATAGGATAGAAAATTAACAAAAGTAGAGAGACAGAGATTTAAAGAGGAAGCAGAAATGTTGAAAGGTCTACAGCACCCAAACATTGTAAGGTTTTATGACTTCTGGGAATCCTGTGTAAAAGGAAAAAGGTGCATCGTGCTGGTTACCGAACTGATGACCTCTGGAACACTGAAGACGTAAGTACTGTGCTCCTGGCGAGCGTCTAAGAATAGCTATGGAAATTTTTAGAAAAATCCTACTTTTGCATTCTGAAAAAAGGCACCTCGAGATAAAGGATAAAAATGGAGCTGTTCTCTGGTGTCTGTCATTCGTCCCTGTGCTTAGACTGCATTGACTTGACAGGAAGAATTTCGGCCTCTGTCTCCCCTTCCCCGATCTTCTGCTTCACTTATGTAACTGGAAGCAGTTCTCTGCCTTGTTTCATTGTGTGCTTGTGACGTTTCCATTTGTCAGTGTGTGTTTCTGTGATTGCTTCTGCTCTTGTATTTGTGTGTTTTGTTATCAAAGTCAGAATAGCACTTGCATGGTAGAATCTCCTTTTGAAGCAGGAGATGCTCTAGGTTATCTACTAAACAATATTAATAGCTTTGCTACTGACAATCTTGTTAAGGTTGATATAAAGCAGTTGGCATGAATTCTGGAGCAGATTTGCAGCCCCAATGGGAGCAATGCTCATCACGGCGTATATCCAGTGTGCTGCTCTGCTAATGCATTGGCAAGTTTTATGTTTTTCCAAAATGTACCCTCCCTCTTATCAGTGTTCTAGACAAACAGTAAAAATGTATGTGCATGATACAGAGGCCAAAGTCTTGTGCCTAAAATTAAGTTTCAGTATTATTCAGTTCTGGATATATAAAACATATTCTAAATCAGTTCTCTGCATGGAGTGAATTGCTTTGCTATTAGACTTGCAAATATCTGGTTGTATTTGCACCAAAAATGCTTATTATCTTCCTTCCCCAAAATGAATGCTCTAATTCCTCCTTTAAAAAAGATCTCTTCCAATTTGGTGATATTTCTGAGCTGCTATTATGATATCTAATAAGGGGTTTTTTTTATCAAAAATGAATTTCAGCTGCTAAAGCCCCGAGAATCTTTAATAACACTTTGCTTTCTTTATAACCAGCTTCTCTGCCTGTTTGTTCTGTAGGTATCTGAAGAGATTTAAAGTGATGAAACCAAAAGTCCTGCGTAGTTGGTGCCGGCAAATCCTGAAGGGTCTTCTTTTCTTGCACACAAGAACTCCACCAATAATTCACAGAGACTTAAAATGTGACAATATTTTTATTACTGGACCAACTGGATCTGTGAAAATAGGAGACTTAGGTCTGGCAACCCTCAAGAGAGCTTCGTTTGCCAAAAGTGTAATAGGTAACCAGTCTGTTCTCTCTGGCTTCCTTCTGCTGGTGTGATGGTTGTCTTTTTAATTTGTCTGCTCTTCACACTTCACAGTAGAGTTTTGCTTTTTGCATGTTGGCTGGTGGTAGAGATTGAAGTGGTTTTGTGACCGTTCCCCTTATACCATTATAAAAATGTCTGTCTGTAGGGCCTATCTAGGAAATGTTACCTTGGCCTTCTCTTTCCTTTACAGCGGTAAATTTTTAATTGAAATATTATTTTGCATCCACAAATTCTTCTCTGTTCTCTTCCAAGAGAAGCAGCAACAGTTCCCAACAGCTTGTGCATCTCATCCTCCTGAGAGCAGGCTCAGTGCCTGTTTGGGAGGGAAAAGAGGAGGAATGGGGGATGGAAGCCACATGCTGCCTTGCTGTCTCACCAACTAGGTGGTGCTGGGAAGTCTTCTGCTTCCAGTGAGTGGGGATGAGTACAGTTGTTTCAGCTGAAGGCAGAGGCAGCCCGTCCTCTGAGCAGTGCCCTGCAGAAGGAGGCTTCTTGTCTTTGCAGGGAGGTCACAGAAGAGCTGCCCTGGCTAGAACAGCTTATCCCCAGTCACTGGGCATCAGCAAAATAAGTTGCTTCTGCAGAGCTTGTCTATGCCCCAACATGATCCTGGCAGAATTCTACTGAAACAGCTGCAATTTATTAAAAATCAGTAGCTACAAAATTGAAGGAAATTCCCACTAGGGTACACAAGAGCTGATTCATGTGGGTACCACGTAGGGATGTATTAGAGCTTGATTTTGCTTGAACTGGGAGGATGTGTTCTGAATGGTGTCAAAGGAGGTCATTCCTTTGCAAAAGTGAAATTTAATGACTTCTGTGTGAAAAACACAAATGGGATATCCTTTCCCTGAGTTCTCAAATGTTTTGGTTTAGTTTTTTTACCTTAATCTTTCTCAGCAAATTGGCCTTGTTCAGGTCTGTAGGTGATGGTTCTAGAAAGTTATAAATCCTTCAGTAAGGATGCTGAAAGTGGGGGAAATTACTGTGCCCATAGTCATAATTTGGCTCCTTATGTAAATGGAAATAAGATTTGAGATGACTAGAATTAGCAGACTGCTGGTGACAGCCACTATTCCTAACTATGAAAATGGCATGCTATCTTTAAAGCGGTGGTTGCCAAAGTAATTATAGGACCTCATACATTTAGGGATTATATTTATTACAATCTCTGTGCAAGTTTCATACTTTGATGTGCCTTCATACTTTGAGAACCCAATATTGTTTTAGTAGCAGCAAGATTGATGCTGTGGATATAGGCCTGGCTGCTGTGGGACTGCTGATTTCAGTGAAATCATGTTAGTTTGTATCTGTTAAGTTTCTCTAGCTTTTACTTCGTAATAATGTATTTTTATTTGTTTGTTTTGAGGGGCAGTATTCCTTCCCATAGTTTATTTTGCAGTGTAACAATTGCTCATGGGCTGGGAATAATATCAGAAATATCAATATTAATTTTTGCAAAATGAATTCCTATAACAGCACTGTCAGACCATAGCTGTGTCAAACAAATTCAATGATGGAAAGGGCTGCAGGTTGCTGGCAAGCTATCTGTATTCTTTTTGGCAAAATAACCAAATTCATCTTTTTCATGAGTTGTGCTGCTCCAAGGAAAGAATTAGGGGGATTGCAAACACTGGTGATGCTGGGCCAGCTCTCACCTTTACAGCAGGATAGGAAAAAAATGTAATTCCTCCCCTGCCATGGAGCGGGAAGCTGAGGCTTGGGAGTGCAGGCAGGGAGATGGGAAGGCTGAAAAAGAAAAGGCAGGCTGGGGAGGGTATCCCACAGGTGTCAGCCCCAGGATCTGGCTTCCCCCTCCTGCTGCATGTCCCAGAGCTGCGTGCACCCTGCTGTCCTCACTGCTCACCTCATCTTCCTAGATGGAGTAGCTCTAAATGGATATCAGTAGCTGCAATTCAACATTATTTTTAATGATGAAGTCAGTGTGGCTGAGGTCCAGGTTTTCCCTTGCTGCGTTTGTGCCACTGCTTATGCTTGCTGACCTTGCGGTGTGTCTCTTCAGGGAGTCCAGCCAGGGCCAAGCCTGTGCTGCAGAGAGCAGCTGAGTAGCTGCTGAGCAGCTTCACATTTCCGTGGTCTGCTCTGTTAGGAGTACTTGTATGTATTCCTTCCCGCCCCTAAGAGTTGGGTGGAAAATGTCATTTTCATGGTGATTTGGAATGGTGTCAAGAATATCATTTGCTTCTTAGACTACTTGCTATCACTTTTTCAGTTGTGCAAGGAACTTTAAATGCTCCATAATTCATGAGATCCACTTCTGTGTCTGTGTCTTGTTCATTCTCAAACAATATAGCATCTCTGGGAAAGGCTCTGACAGCTGTTAACTGTTTCAGAGCAGCAGCCACAGCCTTTGTGAAAGCTGGAAGAAAAGGCCTGGGGTCAGAGCTGAACTCAGAGCATGGCTGCTAAGCTCTCACGACAGGGATCCAGCTGATTTATGAAGGCTGAAAGAAGGAATGTCCTTAAGGTGGAAGGAGCATCAATGAAGGGAGAGAGCGATCTAGAGTTCTGTGAACATTACAGCAATGCTAGAACTGAGGCTTGTTAGTGAGTTAGGCCAAGCCTACTTTGTGATGCATGCAAAAGCACTTTCAGAGACAAACCCTAATTTTGAGAGACGTAGTTTGTGTTACCATTAGGAAGAAAAAAAAATCAGGTCACCAATCATACATAAATTTGAGAACTGTTTCTCCTGATGTCTGTTGTTTAATTACAGTTGTGCCGATGGTAGAGATGTCCTTGCCAAAAAGCAGAGCTGCTAGTGCATGTCAGCTGGCGCAGGGCTGGGGAGGGGATGTGGGTGCTGAGGCAGATCCCGCTGTGCTGAAGGCCAGGTTATGGGTCTGGGATTGCTCACCTTCCTTTTGGCAGCCTACTGCTCACTGGTGGGAGCAGCTCTCTCCTGAAGAAAACAACTGTGTTAATCTCCTTCCTTCATCTTTTCAGTATGTGAAAACAGAAATCGCTCTTGACTCCCAAGCATGCACTACTTTAGGAGATAAAGTTCCTGGAATAAATTACCTAAGTGTTAATTTTGCTCTGCAAGACCACACCTTTTTGGTGCAGAGATTTTTTTGACAAAGGCTGAGCCGCTCTTGAGTCTGTGTGAAGCGTAGGAGTTACTCTGAGGTTGTTGATGACAAGTTTTGCATTCATTCACTTTTTTCTGTATAAGAGAACTTTTGCAGGCATTGTACTTGTCATAACGCTGCAACTTCCCATTATGAAGCAGTAAGTACAATGTTTCCCTTCATTTATCCAGTTGTATTGGTCTCCTGACACCCTAATCCCTTTTGGAGTAGGACCTTATTCTGCAAGTAATATCACTGATCTGTACTACTGAAGCAGCGGTAGATTCATGTTTAATGCTTTGTGCATGACTTCCTAGATGAATTTCTGATGCCACTTGTTTTCAAAGTGCTGTCTCATCTGCTCGGTTGTTGCTGTGCATCTCCCTGGAGGAAGAAATGCAAATTTGCATTGACAAAAACAAGACCGAAGCTTCTCGTTTCTTTGGTCCTTTTCACCACCACAGACCTCTATGCGTGTCCCTCTCTTCATCCAGAGAAGGAAACCATTTTGTAGCATTCAGTGTATTCAGACACCATGCCATATCTCATTTTGGTATTCTCTTTTGAAACTTCAGTATGTTTTCCCCCCTCTGCGTGTATCAGTGAGCTCTATGTGTGTTGACTTTGGGTTTCTTCCCTGGAGGATGCTTGAGCTTATTCTAGTTACTTCCCTGTTTTGAAATAATCTTGCATGCCCCCTTGCACAGTTGTAATGGACACATCTCTGTAGGCAGAACAAGATTGTGATGGAAACCTTTCAGACTTCATGAGTAATTTACCTTCTTTTTTGTGTAGGTACACCAGAATTTATGGCCCCAGAAATGTATGAGGAACACTACGATGAATCTGTTGATGTCTATGCGTTTGGAATGTGCATGTTGGAAATGGCTACCTCAGAATACCCTTACTCAGAATGCCAGAATGCTGCTCAAATTTACCGGAAAGTAACCTGTGTGAGTAAACTTCTTTAATTTTAGTTATATATATATATATATATATATATATATATAATTTGGGATTTGCAGATCAGAAGGTTTAAAAGTGTGGTTTAGTGTGAGATGTCATTACTGTCTTATGTGTGCAGTTTGTTGTAGAAATGGAGGTGTCTTAGTTCTGGGTTGCAGAAACTGCTGCAGGTTTTTTCAAAAAGCTTGCAGTTCTGTGGTTGGATGATGTTTGTCTGTACTGCAGTTGCATTCAGTAATCTTTGCTCATTTTGTCTCACTCAGGCGAAGGTTTGTGAGACTTGGGGAAAGTGAGCAGGGAAGAATCTCTGCTGTAGTCTTGTCTCCAAAAGAGGGATTCTCAGAATTGATCAAGTTTCCCACAAAGCCAAAAAAGCCCTAACTTTTAGATTGGAGATAAATATTTATGTGGTGTAGGATGTTTGATTCAGATTTCCAGTGCAGATTCTTGCAGCTTGTATGTGTAATAAATTATCTGAAAATATAAAGGGGAAAATATAGCAGTGCTTAGTTTTGGAACGAGCCAGAGGAGCTTTATGTCTGAGCTTATCAGTTCTGCAAGCTCTGTTGTTTCCCAGACTGGAACCATGGAAATGGGTTTGCTGCATTCGCAGGTGAAATCAGGGCATAGAAGAAGCCAATCTAAAATGATTTCTATTCTAAAAAAAAAAAAGTATCCTTCCCAGCACCCTCACCCCCATGTGATAAATATATTTGTCTGCATGAGCTGCGCTGTGAATGCATGAGAAATCTGAGTTCGGATGATGCTGTCAGCTTGCAAATCAGTGAAGGAATCACTGACTGCAGAGAAACGGGACTTGCCAAATGCTTTGGCAGTGGTGGTTATCTTCTGCTCTGCTTGGATAAGTAAAAATAAGAATATGGGAGTTTCTGCCCCATAGGTTATGCTAAACAAACTGGTTTGTCAAAGGTTTTTCCAGGTACTTCTTTCCATCCAGTTTCTACAAAAGGACGTAATGAGCTATGTGCCTTGGCCCTTGTGCATTCCCATCACCAAAAGATGCAGACTGCACGCTCAGGATGTGAAGAACGTAGTTCTCTGAAGTAGGCTACACTACAATTTGCAAAAATAGCTACACTTAAGGTGGTTTTAATATCTTTCACCTATAAGGTAGAAAAGACTGGTTAGACTATGTATGGTATGGTTAGACTAGTATGGTAGATGTAGTGAGTGAATCCATCTCAGCCAGAAGCACAGTTCTAAATTAGTATTTCTCTTTTTCCGCTGCTTGTAATGAGCAAAAATCTTCACAAATGAAAAATAAAAACTGGTCAATTTTGAAATGCATTTGAGACCACTTGCCTTCTCCATTTAGTTTAGTGAATCATGCTAGTACAAATAAAGTCTTATAAAGTACTGTGGTCAGCTAAAATTTCTTGAACTCAAAATTGCAGTTTCTGACTTAGTGAGTGATAGTCTCTCACACAGATAATAGAGATGCTTTCATCAATACCCAAACATTTGCATGTGCAAGATGATGTGCACTTTAATGTTCATAGCTATATTTTGTGCTAATATCACTGAGAACCAGTCTGCCAAGAGGTCACAGAATAGTAGGGATCTGGAGATCATGTAGTCCAACCCCTCTGATAAAGCAGATTCCCTACAGCAGGCTGTACAGGAAAGCTTCCAGATAGGTTTTTAATATCTCTGGAGAAGGAGCCTGCACAGCCTCTCCATGTAGCCTATTCCAGCACTCCATTACTCTCAAATACTCTCAAAGAAAAGAAGTTTTTCCTTATGTTCAGATGGGGCTTCCTGTGTTCCAGTTTGTGCCCATTGTTCCTTGTCCTATTGCTGGGCACCAAAGCAAGCCTGGTCCAGTGCATTTGGCTCCTGCCTTGTAGGTACTTTATAAGCACTGTGATAAGATCCCTCTCAGCCTTCTCTTCGCCAGGCTGAACAACCCCAGATTTCTCAGCCTTTCCTCATATGGGAGATGCCTTCCACTGGACACTCTCAGCAGTTCCCTGTCTTTCTTGAACTGAGCAGCCCAGAACTGGACCCAGTACTCCAGATGGGGCCTCACCAGGGCAGAGTAGATGGGGAAGATCACCTTCCTTGACTTGCTGGCCACGGTCTTTTTAATGCACCCCATTGGCGTTCTTGGATACAAGGGCAGATTGCTGGCACATGGTCAACCTATTGTCCACTGGAACCATTAGGTCTTTCTCTGCAGAACTCCTGTCCAATAGGTCAGCCCCTAATCTGCACTATGTGCATGGTTGTTCCTCCCCAGGTGCAGGACTCTGCACTTGCCCTTGTTGAACCTCACAAGTTTCCTCTGCTCAGCTCTCAGCCTGTCCGGGTCTTGCTGAATGGCAGCACAGCCTGCTGGTGTGTCAGCCACTCCTCTCAGCTTTGTGTTGCCAGCAAACTTCCTGAGGGTGCATTCTGTCCCTTTATCCAGGTCACTGATGAAGATGTTAATCAAGACCGAATCTGGTGCTCTTGTTGTGGATTGCTGTGCTAACCAGCTGTGATATTACTAACCCTGACGGGAGAGGGAGGATGCAAATGATTCAGGAGTCTGTTTAAAAGTTTAAGTCACTATCATAAGAAACAGGAGGGTGTCCCTGCTGGAAATGAAAGAGATGTCACGATGTGCTGAAAGCAAAAAGATGCATCAGAAGAGTGAAACAGCTTTATCTCATTTCTATGTAAATTGTTGCAAGCTGACATTTGTATCTTGGCAAAGCTGAATCTTTCCCAATGGACTGCAGCCCTGATTTTGGCTACTTTAATCCTTCTTAGAGTGCTGATTTCAACCCACTGCTACTCAGAGAGGGAGGTGAAAAAGACATCAGAAGCTGCTCTGCAGTGCAGTTAACTTCATTGCTAGCTGCTGCAGTAATGGCTGGGCCAACCCTGTAGGGAAGGGAACGAGGCAAAGATGGGTCATCAGGTTTGCTGACTGCAAGCCCCCCTGCTCTGCAGTATGAGCTGGCTGGAAATGAGTGCTGCATATTTTCAAAGAAGTGAAATACAGCTGATGGCTTGGTGCAGTTGCTTGCCTGAATCCTTATGAGGATAGCTGCTTGTATTGTATTTCTGCTCTGCTCACTCCTCCCCTACAAGGAAAAGTTCGTTTTATTTGGCACCATGGCTTGTTGGCTTAATTTTAGGCATGTGGTCCTTTAGTATCTGCTCTAAATGCCATCTTTGTGTATATCTGAGGAAAGATCTCCGTATGCTTTGGTGCTTCACATGGTGACAGTAGAACAGTATTCTGGCTTTAGGTCATGGGGGCCTCATCTCCTGAATGTAGCAGTGGGTGCCCTTCTGGACTGATCATTCTAGTGATGGTTTTTCTGAGGAGAGTTTGGTGTGTTACCTGCTGCAGTGGCAGGGGTTTGTGTGAGCAGCATGCCAAATTTGTTAGTGGTTGGCTCATGTTAAGCTCACCTGTACATGCACATAGGGGATTAGAGCCACAAACAATATAGGTGTCTTCTGTTGCTCCACATTCTTAGAAAAGCTTTGTGTATAACTCTTAGCCATCTGCAATATTGGTGATTAAGGCTTCATAAGCCTCATTTATCAAAACAATATCCGAGATGGCAAAGAATAAAGATTAATCAGAGGATTCCTAATTAGATACTACATTTTAATTTGCAGACCTAAGTAGTCGTTTTTAAACTCTGAGGAAAGTCTGAGCCAACTCATTTTCTGAGGCAATAGCCTTTACACAGCAGAGAGTTATATGGTAAGTTATAACTTTATCCTTGCAACTTAAGAGAGATAGAAAATGTTTGTTGTGGATAAGTTTTAAAAGGTCACTTTGCTTGTAAGAGAGGTGTTTTGGATACAGATCTGACTAATAGGACAAAGCTGCATGTGTTGGGTGCAGACACTGATACTGCTCTTTTCTGCTGAGCTCAAGACAAGAGCAACTGGAGCAGAGGCCTCAGGATTCCTTTGGTGGACAAAATGGCATTGCTGCCATTACAAGGAAAGAGTTAACCTCTCCCTGTGGAGAGGAAAATGCCCTGTCACATGCCATGAGCTGCATGGACTGTCAGATATGGAGGAGGAGCAGGGGGAGGACCTCTGAGGCAAGGGTGCGAGAGGAGCAGCAGAGCCCCACAGAAGGTCCTTGGTCCCAGAGGGAGCAGCTCCTGGGGGCTCAGCAGCTTCTGCCAGAAGCTGTGCCTGCAGAAGAGCTGGCGGCAGACGGGGACCCCGCTTGGAGCCATGTGAGTCAGCCACAGCTCGCTGCTGGGCCTGGGGGACACTGCCTCTGTGCTCAGATGCAGAAAGTTGGGTGCGGGGAGCATGCCGTGCCCATGGCCTGAGCTGTCACAGAGCAGTTGGCTCTGCCCATTCTGCTGGGCTGGGGACCACCTGTAGGGAGAATTTTACAAGCACTTCTCATGGGGTAGCCATTGTCGTGCTGTACCCATTACTGGCATTGATATAGAAGTAGAGCATAGATGAAATTCAAGGGGCTGAATTACACGGTTTTATTCCCAGGATTACCTGAAGTTTGAACTTCTCACTGGGGCAGAAGGTGTTCCTGAGATTCTCACATGGGCAGGATCAGCAGTGAAGTGCTTCTGAATGCTGCGTGTATCACAGCTCCTCAGTGGGAAATGTTCTTTGTTTTTGATGAAACCTCTTTGCACCAGAAATGTAAACGTTATTCTTTCTGTTAAAGCAAGACTGAACAGTAAACATTTTTTACATTTGTTTCTTGATGCTTTTCTTTCACGAATGTAAAATACAATAACTCTGTTCCTGCCTTGGGCTGAGTGTCACAGTGGTGTCATCTGACATCCAGGAAGAAAACTCTCTAATATACTGATCCCTATTGCTAAACCAGCCTATCTCAATGGCAACCTCCAGTGGTGCTGATGGCATTGCTTGCTGATACTGGAATCATGCAGGTGATTGCTTGCAACAAAAGTACAGTAACTCCTTTGTTCTTCTGCCTGTTCCAACCTGACTTGGGATTGCACTGGCACAC